GAAGTAGATGAGAAATACTTTATTACATATATAATCACAGCAGCACGTATTCTGTTTGCCAAGTATTGGAAACAAAAGGGAATACCCTATAGGAAGGAATTAATTTATAAAATATTAGATATGGTAGAAATGGATAAATTCACTATAATTTTGCAGGGTAAAGATGAAGCACTGTTTAAACGTAGATGGGAAAAAATTATACTTGGATAGATAAGAATCAGTGTACTAAGCAATAACCACTATATATGACTCCAAAAGTCTACTATCTTGTACAAGATTTGTTTATTTCTATATTGTATGATTTTCTGAAAAGTCATAAATAAAACAGTTAAAAAAACAACAAAAGGAGTTTTGGTAATTGTGGGGCAACACTGTGCTGGAAGTGGTCTGAAAGCAGATTCCTGTAAAACAAATACAAAAACAAGGGAAAGCCCCACACAAAATGGAAGTGAAAGCGGGAGGGAATGCAGAACGGAAAAATAGGATGTGCTTAGAAACTGAGGCAAAATATGGGTGCAGAAAGGGCCTATGAACTGGCTAGATGGCCTTTAGTAAGTTACTGTACCTCATCTTTCTCATTTGCAACATGGGTATAATAATTATTGTAACAGTGATCAAATGATGTAAATGATATACAAATCTGAAATCATACTAATAATAAAAACTAAACTATACTTGGTCTTAAAGGTGCCACTGGACTGTTCTGGACCGGGGGCGGGGGCTCTGCAGCTTACCTGGCTGCTTCTTGCTCTGACTGAGGGCTGCTGGGAGCAGGGGGTGGGGCTTGTTGCATGTGCCCGCCCTCTGGGCTCTTTACTGCCAGAGCTCCGCTCCTGTGCACTCCTGCAGGAAATGACCCCTGATTATAAAGAAGGTAATTTATCTTGCTGTGTTGATTGTCTAATTATGGCTGATCCATAGTGGTCATGTTGTTCAGTTGCTACCCTAGACTGGTCACCATATTCTCCATCCCACTGCTGCTACTATGAATTTCAAGCAATGCACTCATCAGAAGTCTAACGAAATAGGCACTTTCTTGGAAGGGCGGCTGTACATGTATTGGAAGCAGCCTCAGTGTCATGCTCCATCCAGTATGCCACTCGTACTATCCTTAGACACTAAACATGTCCCAGTACTCTATATTTTAGTGCCCTCCAATGTGATGCCTTGCTTAAGGAGGTTGTGCAGGGAGGGCAAGTGAAATGCTGACTCTCTGGAGCTGTTCTCCAAGCCACTGCCCCCAAGTCTTGTATAGCTTGCTGTATGGAAGAAGATACTGCAGATCACCCTTTTAGCTATAATAATTAGCATTCAAGATGAGCTAGATCTCACCAACATTAAGCTTCAGAATTTTCTTTTCAGTGCAGCAGTTTGTAAGTCTGAACTGGCTGCAGAGAAAGATGAACTGAAAGTTTTAATTTTTTTTTAAATTCAGCTCTGGAACATATGAAATACAATTGTTTTGAGCATCAAATTGGTATCCATCTCTATCAGAAAACTAAAGTCCATCATCACTTATCTGGGATGAAGAGGCAGCATTTCCAAGTCCGAATTGTGAGTTCCGGGCAGACATGAGTCTCTACACCTCTCTTTATAGAAATAATTATTGTGGAATATTTATTTGATTTATTTGTCCCCTTCAATAATAAGAAACAGGATGCAAGCAAGAAAACAACATACTTAACCAACTCCATTACTGCCCATGTTTCTGGCCACAGCCTGACTAATTTCATTTCTTAGGCCTTTCTGGGTCAGCCTGAACCAACCTAAATATACTTGTGACAACTGCATGGGTATTCACAGATGTAAACTCAAAATCTTGTTCTGTTCCAAAACATGCACATATACAAAAAGACATATAATCATGGCAAGCCTATATTTACCTCAAACATCGGATAAGAGTTCTTTTATTAACCACCTCATGCAAATACCCTTGTTAGGCACATTTGTTTCTGTTCAAAATGGATTTTTGCAATAAAGTCAACATTTCATGGAATAGAGCAGAAACAACAGATTCCTAAACTAACCTTAAATTCACAAGCTTATAGGCTCTGTCACCCACCAATCAGAAATAGGCTACTCCATGTGGTTCCTTCTTCTTCAAGAGGGACTTAAGGAACTGGGGGAGAATGGAAAACAAAGGTCGCTTTCACACATGCCTAATAATGTAATTTCAGTCCTCTTTCAATGCATTTTGGCAATAGTTTGCAAACTTTGCAAGTGGATTTTGCCGTTTTGCCCTGTAAAGTCCAGTTGCAAAGTGCATCCAAAGTGGATTGAAAGTGCATTATTCAGAGGGTGTGAAAGTGCTATTGCTACCTAGCTCTTTTCATTTTGTTCCCGTTCCACTTTAATGTTAGGCAATTCTAAACTTGCATACATTTAAATGAATTGGCTTATGAAAATGAACAATACCAATTTCCCCCACTGGAACAGGGCAAGCATATTAAGGGTGGCTGTTTACAGGGCTGGGTCAGGGCAAGTTTCAGCTGCACAATAAACTTGGTTTCACTCATGAGCATTCTGGCAAGACTGACCAGATAAACGAGCAGCCCTTGCAGGTAACAAGTTCGGACTAGGGAGGAACAAGGATAAAAGGAGGCAGAAACAGGCACACTCAAGGCTAATGTGCACAAAGTTATAACAATGTCAGTTTTATTCCATAGGCTTGTACAGTATCACAGTTTAACATTCAGGGCTTTCTGCTGATTCAGTCACTTCCCTTTCATGTACACCATTCCGCCTCATTTCCCCTTAAATACTGATAAATATATTTTTGTGGAAATAATGATCCTAGCCTGGAAAAGGAGAACATTATAAGCAAAGCGACATCTAAAGTAAGAATGGACAACATCTCTGTGTGTACAGGCACTAACACCTGGCTTTTTATAATTTTTATAGATAAATGGCAAAGGAAAGTTTGGCAGACATAAAGCCACCATCAGTGTAATGTGTGGGCATGGCCAAATGCCT